GTCATCACACTGACAACATCCACAACAGCCATGTCCTTTTGCATCATCACATGATGCAGGGCTTGGACAAACCAGGAACCGTTCGTGGTGTTTCTCCAAGAGAAAAATCCTTCAAGAAAAGAAAAAATTAATTATCCATAAAATACAGTAAAATCTCATCATAACACATTTTATCAGCATAAAAACGTTTGCTCAAGTCCCAATAGAAAGCCCATAGAGAAAACGTTGGACAATTTCCTTGAAATGAACTTCCCAATTCCAGCATAACAAACTTTTTTGAGAAATGCTCAACAGATTCTCTGGGTATAAATTTCCAAACGCTGAAATTTCTGATACCGAATGTGACTTCTGCCTGGTTCTTGTAGCTGGGATGGAAGGTGTGATCAATGATAAACATGCTTTCAAGTGGTTCTGCACAACATCCTCTCATAAGGAGGATATTTCACATCATCACCCCAGGATTGTGAAACTGATGGAATGCATGATTGAAGCTACAGTATTTTCTTCTTAAAAAAAAATCACTCACCGCACAATTATGATAAAAATCTCAAAATGCCAAAAAATGAAGATCTAACTGATTACACGCAGGTCTGATGTGGCAATTTTTTCATTTCGAAAATCTTCAACAAATTATTCAGAACAAAATTTTTATTCTGAAGTCCCGAACGTGAGTTGCTACAACATTTTATGATATTGTTTCATTAAATGTATCAACTGGCAATACTTTACCTGGAACAGCTGAATAAGCCAAAAGGAAGTCAGCATATGCGGCCAACGAGTATTTAGGAGGACCAGAGTCTGTTTCCAAAGTGCTGATTTTCTGCAGTTTGACTCCACCATCCAATTTGTCTCCCTGACACGCCTGTGACAAAAATAAAAATTCAAACATGCATCTTGTCCTCAGAAAATTTTTGGATGGCTGATCATATTTTGGTACTGTTCGAAGCAGAAAAATCTCAAGTCCAATCGAAATCAGCTAGGTGACGTTCACAAAAAAAAAAAATCAGCAGGCTTCTCCATTAAAAATGTTAATTTCGACAAAAAAGGAAAACGATTCTGGGGAACCATACAGAAGTTGCTTGGCTCCATGATGAAATCACGTAGGAGAAAAAATTCCGCTGCCCGAAAATCCTGTGGGCCCAAAAATCTCGCAGGGTACGAAAATCCCGCATGCTACAAATTTGTGATACTATCTCTGAGTTTTCCTTCCAACCAAGCAAAGCCTTCCAACTCAAGCAAATTGATGCATGATTTTCACTTCATACAGCAGAGGGCAAAGTCGAACTGAAAATAATTGGAAAAGTGAACAGTTTAAATACAAAACAAATGCAGGAACCCAAATGAAGGTTACATTTTTCTGAGGTTTCCTCATCCAAAAGGTGAGGAAGTGAAGTTGAGGTTCTATTGAGAAAGGTAATTCCTAAACCTTGGAAGGAAACCCCTCTCACTTTCACCATTTCATAATGCACCAAATTTGCATTCCTCCCAGGCAGTTGGAAGGAAAACTCAAGAGATAATATCACAATTTTGCAGTATACGGGATTTTCGGACCCCGCGAGATTTCTGGGCCAACGGGATTATCGGCCTCACGGGATTTTCGGGCCGCGGGATTTTTTCTCCCATGGGATTTTTTCCTGCACCCTTTCACAGGTAGGTAGGTGGTGAACATTTCAGAATACTACGTCAGTGGAAACAGTGGTTTTTGATTCAATAGACGAAAGAAATCTTCAGGAAAGCTTGGTAATATTGCAGGCTTCATTCTCAGTGACTCACCTGAATAAAAAACATTTTTGGCTTCCCAGCTAAACTAGGGCAGTTGGTGGCAGTGAAACGTTCCCAAAGCTCTTCAGTTCTAAAAGATTTATCCCGGGAGTACAACAAGCCTCTTTCGCCATGGCTTAAAAAGCATACAACCAGGCAACTCGCATCGAAGTGATTTTCATCGGCAACTGAAATGTACAGGAAATGAAACGTCAAGTTTCGGGGATATCTAGGGAAATCCAACAAACGAACCATCTTCGAGTCGTTGCATAAGATCCTTGTATGCCGCATTTTCGTGCACTTCAACATCAAAGCCTAATTTATGGAACATCTCCTTCAAACGATCCCGATCCTCGTCTGTGCCATTTCGCAGACTCATGTTCAAATACGCATCAAAAACTTTGTGGTTGAATATCAGAGCTCTTCCACGGCGAGCGTGCGTCATGTTGTAGTACTCGTCGTGTTCGCCAGTTAAAACTAAATTCACACCAGTTGACGTTGTCCTATAGAATGCAAAAGGGGAAGTGGCAAATCAATGGAAAAAACTTGTGCGCAAGAATTAATACGAACATACCCGAACGGCCCAAATCCTCTCGCGTCGGTTTTATCCTCCGCTTGCCCATTGTCACTTGAATCGTCCGGAATTCCGCTGAAATAACGTCAGAGGCCGGTTAAAAGAGAGAATAAAATGCAACACCATACCGCACAAGAGCTCCATGAAATTCCCGTCGGTTACAAAAATCTCACAACTTGGATTAATGAAACAGAAAGATCCTTTTTGTTAAAGGCACAGGCATTTGTACCCACCTGACTACAATAGGGTACAAAATGATCGCAGCCACCGTCCTAAAGCAACAAAATTTTCTTTCTCTGAAGTTTACTGGAGCTTAACTGTGGAATTCAGTAAAAAATTAAACATTTTATATTCAAAGCAAATGCTGAGATTAAAGCTCCAAATGAAGGCTACATAGTTCTCAGACTTCCTCTTGACCTTTGTGATTATGGTGATTAAGTTTCCGAGGTGGTAATCTCTTGATTATCTTTCTCAAGAGAAAGGTAATCCTAAACTTTCAATATGGTTCATCCCAAGACACACATTCACAGTTTTGTAATCCACGGGATTACTGCTCCCGAGGGGATTTGGGTGTCCGGAAAGGTTTCCTCCTAGCTTATTTTCCATTGTGGTCAGTAGACGGATTAAGCTGGTTGGACCATTCGAGAAGAAAAGGGATTTGGGCATGGGCCTCAGGAAACTGGCGGAAGGCCCCATGGGTGGTAAGTAAACGAGAGGTCCCAAAAAACACAGCATGATTACCAATGCACCTGGCGATTAGAGAATGAACCGATTAAAGAATGGACCGGGATTTGGTACCCCTCAAGATTTCCAGACCTACGAGATTTTTGAGCCGCGGATTTTTGTCTTTTGGCTTCCTTCACATCAGCGAACGCACTCCTAGATCGAATCAACGATTTATCATCATAAGACAAAAGAGCGTTCAACTTACCCTGAAAAGATGCACGCGGTAAGAAAGAGAGAGAAAAGACGAGGATTAACAGTGATGGAAAGAAGAAATCTCTGAGCAAGATAGAAATTAGAGATAATCAAATAATGTACTTGGATTATTTACCCGCTTTCCTTTGAGCCGTTAAAGCCATTTGACTGAATCTTCAACTCCGATTCTGTTCGCAACACAGGGATCGTACTCTCAGGTGGACTAAAAAACACAGATAATTCCGTTAGCTTGACACATTATCGGCATTCAGTTCTTCACTCGTTAGGAACCTCATTTCTGACACTGACGATGAATCTTCGGAAAGCTGATCCTTGCCAAATGCATCAAGTTCACCACGAGTACTTTCCTGATGGCTTCTCGACCTGCGACAATGACTCATATAAATAAAAATCGCGACGAAACGTATAGCAAGTATCAACTAACGTCACATGAGTATCCATGGCAAGCCACCAGTTCGACAACGCGGAAGATTCTGGAATAAGTGTTATGCTCGAACGTCGGACTCTAGCTTACGTCACATGGATGACGGGATAATCTAGAGTTCATGACATGGCGAGATAAGCAGGTCCACCGACATGAAGCAACGAGATTGAACTCGCGCATGAATCAAACAAATCACGAATCCCAACAGGAAACAAATGGAAACGCACTTCGGGCAGCACACGTAACGATACAGTTCAGAAGCAGGCGAACGGTTGTACAACAGGAGGAGCACATGCCCTCACTACAGCTTTAGACCGAGTAAAACAAATGGAAACAGTTCTCGAAATTTGCCTCCGAAGGGCACCTATCGAAATCCGGATTCTCTGGTTTGTCATGTGCTCTTATAAATGCTAGCTCCTCTATTCCCAAATTCCCTGCAGGTGAATTAACATAAAACGGCAATACTGTATGCGTTAAAAGAAATGCGTCAAGCATATTTTTACGGGAGTCTGGAGGCCCTATAAACCTCAGACATAGTTACTACGAAAATACTGAATTTTTCAGACAAAAAGTCCGCCAGGTTCTTTACTGATCAGAACTATATATATTGTGCTCCATGATGACTCCACACTGCTTTTGAAGTACTCGTGATTTATCATTTATTCACCCATCTCTGAACAGCACAGTACTCGCATTCATTGCTGTTATGGTGTCTATACTCTATAGAGTCTATAACCGTTCTAGCATAGTTTTTTCGCAACCCGCTCACTTCCACGCCACTCTGCTATGGGGCTTATTCACTTCCACTCCCTCTCCCACGGACATTAATGAGTGACTTTATGAATAGCGCATGCTGTTGATGAGGAATTTTATGCTGAAATTGGTGTAAGAAGACAATGTACTATTAAATTTAGACCTAAACTGAAGTTTCCTATTTATTAAAAATAATATGCGCCATCTTGTTTTTTGGTTCCATACATAAAAGTATATACCCGTAATTCATTGCAGTTGAAGTCACCCACTGACAAGCCCTGTTAGCTCTTCCAGGAGGTAGCGCTGGCAAAATTGTGGAGTGGAAGAGGAGCGGAAGCAGTAAGGTACCCCTTTACAGCGACATCTACCCAAGCATCTGGGACTGCCGTGTTGTCCAACCGATTTTCACCAGAACATCCGGATGTGTGGACTAGAGGAGAGGTGGAACTAGCAGGGAGTTTCTTTCGTCACTTCGCTCGGAGATCTCGACGAGAGCACTTCTAATGTTATAGGTTGCGAATTCCGGACTTATGTTGGTGAGAATAATACGACCGTTGATATCGTGACAAGTGATCGAGGACAATTATATCTGGCAACAACCTTATTAAGCTCTGTGGCTCTTAGTTGAAGTTATTCTGGAAGTTTGCGTCGAAGCGGCGTTGAGGGCTGACAAAGGAGTTGTGTCTTAGTCGGAATGTTAGTTGCGTGAAATCTGCAGTACTGTTCCGTGATGTGGTGTATGAACGAGTTCTTTCGCTGAACAATAATTGAATGTTGCGATTTTTCAGGCGTGAAATCATAAAAAGATGAGTGGCCGAGGACGAGGCAGAAATTTCGGTAAACCGGCGAAGCCGAATGCCTGGACTGAGCATCGGCCTCCAGCTCACAGTCGCCCGAATAAGCCTTCAACTTCGAACGAGTCGAAGCAGAACGGTGTTACGCATGAGAAGCCATCGAAATTTGAGGAGGCATGTGCTCGAATCAATCGCTCCAACGAAGGCTACATTCGTTCTCATGGCTTGAGTTCTCCACGATTATCAGACGATGAAGATAATGACTTACCTTCCCTGAATAGATCCTCAATTCTCGGTGTGTAACTGAAACTTTACAGTGATGTAGTTCGAATGACGGCAAGACGTAATCCTTGTGTTTTCAGATTCGCTTTTGAAGAGATATGATGGCGACGGACTAGACGACATGTGCCGAACGAAGCAATATCTGGATGATTGTCTGCGAGGTGGAGATAAAATCGTTTGTCTCATTTGCATTGATCCTGTGAAGAAGCAAGAAGCGGTATGAAGTAGCGGCTATTCGGCTGAACGAAATTGACCAATAACGTTTTAATTTTGTAGCTTTGGAGCTGTTCGGCGTGTTTCACATCATTCCATCTCAATTGCATCCAAAAATGGGCAAAAGACAGCGTTTATATAATTGGGGAAGCCCTCGAAGCCCAAGATCGTTCCCACATTTCTTGGAGTTGCCCCAAGTGTAGGAAAGACTATGATCAGAAGGACACTCCTCGTCACTATTTGTGCTGGTGTGGCAAAACAAGAGATCCTGAAGACGACCCGTGGCTTGTTCCGCATTCTTGCGGGCAGACGTGCAAACGTGAATTGGATCCCAAGTGCGGGCATGTTTGTAACTTACTTTGTCATCCGGGGCCTTGTCCACCTTGTCCGCAAGTCGTGAATACGCGGTGCTATTGTGAAAAAAGTGCTCCGGTGCCGAAAAGATGCAGTAGAAAGCTGTGGTCATGCGAGGCAGCGTGTGGAAAAAACTTGGACTGTGGCCATCACAGTTGTAAGGCGACGTGTCATCAAGGTGTGTGTCCACCCTGTCCCGAAGAAAGCCTTCAGACCTGCGTTTGCAAGAAAAGCAAGCCGATCGTGAGGTACAGTATAATCGATTCTTTGACTTGATAACAGGTGATCCCATACTTGAATTTCTTGCAAATTTCCCAAAAGGATTTCTGAAAAATTTACGTTTTCCCCGATTATTTCGTCGAATAATTCTTACGTCACTGCGTTTCAATCACCACAGAACAGGTTGAGAACCTTAGCAGTGACGTGCTATATTTTGATATTGACTGAAAGATATTAAGGATTAGTCAAAATCATTATCTGATGAACTCATTTTTTTGCGTTTAGAGTATTATAGTCCTGATCTTCAAGTTGGTAAACAACTTCCAACTCAAAACTTGCTTCAATTTCAACCTGTACTTCACCAAATGCAAATGTCTTATTTTTAACACGAAGAATTAAAACTTTCGTTGACGATCAGAAATACTCTACAACATATGGACTTGTTAAAATTTTGAACTAAATCGTATATTTCTTCGAGTCCTTTTAGTTTTGGTTTATTGATATTTTCGTTTTCTCCCAGGCCTTGTAATGATCGAATATGGAAGTGCGGCATTCCGTGCAATCGGATGCTTTCCTGCGGATTTCATAAGTGTAAAGAAGTTTGTCATCCTCTGAATGAGTGTGGCGATTGTCCGTTGAGTGGAACACAAAGCTGTCCATGTGGGAAATTTAGGAA